CATTTGATCATGTATTGATGCCCTAAATTAGGACCCTTAGCTTTTATCCCTGTTAACTTGCAGGATTTTTTTCATTTTATCTTTCACATTTAGGTCTTTGATACATTTGAATTCATTTTTTTATATGGTGTGATATATGGATCCTGTATCATTTTTTCTGTAAATGAATATCCAATTTTTCCAGCACCATTTAAAAAAAAACAACACCATCTCTTCCCTATTGAATGGACTTCAACCCTTTGTCAAAGATCAGCTGCCGATAGCTGGATGGATTTATTTCTGGCTTCTCAATTCTGTTCCATTGGTCTGTGTGTCTTTTGTTGTGTCAGTACCAGGCTGTCTTGACTACCGTGGCTGTGCAGTTAAGTTCTGAGATCAGTTAAGTGTAAGACCTCTTACTTTGTTCTTCTTCAGTAATGCTTCAGTTATTCAGGGCCTCTTTCCTTTCCATATAAGCTTAGAGATATGTTTTTGCATTTTGTTAAAGAATGCTGGAATCTAAATCAGGATTGCATTGTATCTATATATTGCTTTGGGTACTATTGACATTTCCACAATGTTGTCTTCCCATAAATGACCATGATATGTTTTTCTATTTATGATTCCTGAAATAGTGTTTTGTAATTCTCCTTGTATAAATCTTTTACATCCCTGATTAAACTTATTCCTAGTTTATCCTTTTGGGGGCTATTGACTGGGCTTATGTGTGTCAGCATGGGACCTTGCACCTCAGGGAGCAGGTGGTTGGCATGGCCAGTCTTGTACCCTTAAGATTGGGCCACCTGTTGCTCAGGAAGGTGTGGTAGCTGTGGCCAGGCTTGTGAGCAGTCTGTGCCTCTGTAAGGGGTAGGTGAGTGGGGCCCAGCTTGCACACATTGACTCCACCTGCCTGTACCTAAGGAAACAGTCTTATACAGATGATCTGCAGGTAGGGTGACTGCTTGCACAAGGCTGTTCCTGACAAAGGGGAGGTTCAAGTTAAAGTACTCTGTGGGTTGACTTTTCATAGGTGCCTCGACCAACAAGCACTCCCTGCACTAATACCAAGCTCCTTCCCTTCATACACTCACCAGTGGGGCTGGTCTCAACTGCTGATGTGTCCTCCTCTTTAATCCCCTGCAGTTGTGCAACTGTTCCCTGTTCTGGTTCTGTCCTGCCTGCCTTGTCATTTCTTTCTGAGGTTATTGGCACAGAATCTCTACCACCGCTAGCTGTACTCTGTGCGGTTGCTTTCCTGGGTTCCTTACTCTAAGTTACAGTTCAGTGCCATCCAGAAATGATCACGCTGCTGCTCCCTGCTGGCAGGGTGTAGTTAATACACTAATCTCTGTTTTTCTGCTGCCCTCTTTTTGCTTCTCTTTCCAATCGGTGCTTAGTCTGATTCTTCACCTCTCTTTATGATTCTCCAGGATCAAAGGTTGTTGTTTTGTGTGTCAGTTTATTAGCTTCTCAAGTCTTTGTTGTCAGGGTGTCATTATAGTACATGTATCTAAGGTGTCATATCGATTAGAACTAGCTCCCCTTCTCATCTTTGACAGTAAATTTCTCTGTAACTTTTACCTTTCAAATGGCCAGCACCCTAAGGATCCCTCTGCTTTTACTGAAAGTTCTACTTTATTTATACTTTTCCAGGTGTCTTGAATTTATGCCTTTATCTTTACACTGAAATGTTTACTAGTTTATGCACTTTGGGGTATAAGTAACAGAATTAACTTGAGAGAAGAAAACCTTTTATTGTAAGGTCTCTTCCAGAATCTAGAATCGTACAACACTTGAAATGGACAGAATCAAGATCCCTTGGTAGAATTTTGGGGATTTTCTCTTTAGGTCACGGCTACTAACATGGTTAGCAGTGATTCTTTGCCTTGAGTGAAAATTCCTAGGCATTTGCATCTGATTTGTCCACCCTGAATCATCTTCTACCAGGGAATACAAACAAAACTGTACAAATGGGCAGACCAGTAAGTGACAAGAAAAAAAAAAAAGGAATGAGAACTATTCGTCGGTGTCCAGAACAGAGTGGAAGTCTGTCATTTGTGAAAACTTTCAAGTTTCAAACACATCAGGTATACTTGAGGAACATCTTTCTGTGCATTGCAAAACACACTGAGACTACTTGGAGGACTGGCCTGAGAGGGGATCTGCCAGAGAATGATCCATTGTTGGCTTCAGAGCTGTAGTCCATGACTCATCCCTTGATAATGAAGAAAAGAAAGGTAGGGAGAAGGGCCAGTCCCCAGACTGACATTGATACAGAAGAACTATAAAAGTAAACATGGCTGCCTACATGAAAGCAGACTAACACAGCATATGGCGAGGCAGCCTTTATACCCAAGTACTGTATAACACCAGAATTAGAACCTCATTTTTTCAAGGAGAGTCAGAGCTGAGGTAGAGAAATGGTAGCCCAAAGTTATTTTGTCAGGCCTGAAGTAATAAATGAAGTATTTTGTGGCATTGTAGGAAAAGCACTGGACTGTAAAGTCAGTTTAAACTGTAAGGTTGTTGGTTCAAATTCACCAGCCACTAATAGGAAGCCCTATGTTGTTGTTATTAGGTACCATCGAGTCAGTACTGACTCATACCGACCTTATGCACAGCAGAACGAAACACTGTCCCATCCTGGGCCAACCTCACTACTGTTGCCATGCTTGAGTTCACCGATGTTGCCACTTAGCCAATCCATGTTGTTGGGGGTCTTCCTCTTTTTCTCTGACCCTCCACCTTACCAAACATGATACCCAGAGACGAAGTTTGGCCATCTTGACCAAGGAGCACTCTTTTGGAAGAAGGAAGCCCTGTACAGGGTGGCTATCAGTCAGAACCAACTCAATGGCATTCAACACTTTAAAAAGAGGATTTTTCCTAGGAAGTGAAATTTTCAGCTTCTGAACTAGGAGATCCAGCCCCACCAGCCTATAGTACCATACAGCAAAACCGGCTGCCACTGAGTAGCTACTACCCTTCCAGCTTATATGTCGTCTCAACATTCACTGCAAGTATGCGTTTCAAACCCCCCAGGGTAGGTGTCTAGGACCTGTCCACCTCACTCTACATGAATGTCAGAAAAGTTAGGGCATGCATTTTTATGTGATGAGCTAAAAGTCTTTTCTGTGGCTTTTAAATTTTCTAGATTACATGACTAACTGTATAACCTATTCAGATATCATCAAATTTGGTACAGCCACTAGGGGAAAGAATCCACTGCCATGGAGCAGATTCCCACTCATAGCGACTTTCTGCTTTAAGGGAGCAGAAAGCCTTGTCTCTCACTTGAAGCCGCTAAATAGGTTTGAGCTGTCAATCTTCAGATAGTTCAAACCTACTTTGAGGCTCCGCCTACAGCACCACCAGGGTTCCTGCTCAAATTCAACCAGGGACCTCAAATGACAAGACATTTCTGTATATACCTGTAGATTCCCAAATCATAGGCTCATTAGCTGATTAGTTTGCATCCTACATCCTCTAAAATGCTAACTAGAACACATTGTGTTTCATAGTGGGCTGTTGTCCTAATGCTGGGGGGAAAGGGGGGAGGAAGGTAGAGAGGCATCCAGGGTCTGGATAAATGCAGCATACAAAGGTGATCAAGGCCTTAGGCCCTGGAGTCAAATGTTTGTGTTCACATCCCAGAGTCTAAGGACGTGGGGAACTTGGTCACTTCCTCTTATGAAAATGGTTGTAAGGAGTAAAGGAGATAAATCATATTGTGCAATTTGCAACTGTTGTTAAGTGTGGTCGAGTCGGCTCCGGCCCATAGCGACCCTGTATAGTTTCCCAGGAGCAGCTGGTGAGCTTGAACCGCTGACCTTGCAGTTCAAACGGATTTGCAGTCTGGCACATTAACTCACAGAGCCACACCAGGACTCAATTAGTAACAGAGGGAGCACTAAATATGGTAATTATTACTATGAACTTATGTTGCTGTGTTTGTTAAGGTGACCTTGAGCCAGTTCGCCTCATAGCGATCTGTATAGGGTTTTCAAGGAGCTGGCTGGTTGGTAAGAACCTTCAGGTTAACAGATCAGTGTTCATCCTACAGCACCACACCAGGATTTAATAGTCCCCCAAGGTTCCTAATCCCTCTTGCCCGAGAAGTAGTACACTCACACCCATTAATCAGTTCACACATTTAATCAGAGAATTTTGGTTATCCTTCCATCGACGATCTTCCCAGGTAGATCTGCATCACGGAACAAGTCACAGCATTTATCACGAGTTCCAGTCCCATTCGCAAAATGGCAAGATCTCTTTCCGGCTTGTGGTTCAGTCCTCGGATCTTTATCTCAGTCGAGTTTCGGAGTCTTTCTCCACAGCTTGCCCGTCCGATCATAGAGCTTTAAAGAGGTAATCGGTTTGGTCTGGGTTCTCTGTAGGTCGACAACTAGAGTCAGGATTCCGAGCCGCGTACAATGCTAGGTATGACCTCTCAACTCCGAGACCGTTGTAGAACCTAGAAACGGAGGCAGATGGCCTCGGCTCCCTGGGCTTAGCGGTCTGCGCCCGGGCCCCTCTGTCTACCTGGTGGTGACTCCGGACGGTCCCGGAGACCGCGGCGTAGCTCCTGGTTGAAGGCATCTTTGAAGCGGGCAGCACGGCGGCCCAGGGAGCCCGCGGGCCCAGCCGCGAGACCCCGCAAGCGGCGGGCCGCGTCCTGACCGCGCAGCTGGGCCTTAAGCAGGGCAAAGGCCGTGAGCTGCGCCGCACGCCTAATGGGCCGCGACTCTGAGAGACGCTCCACTAGCTGCGGGCTGTGTAGTAGAACAGCAAGCAGCCGCCGAAACACCATCCTCTCCGGAACCCGGAGCAAGTTGCCCTAACCTTGTGATTGGCGGCGCCCGACAGCGGACAGCAGCTGCGCCCGCGCTGCGTGATGACGACACTCGCTCTAGGATCTGGCCGCAGGGCTCCCACTTTCTCTGTTTTCTGCTTTCGTGCATTTCCGGTTCCGCCACCGCTGCTGCAGCTGCCTTCGTCTCAGTGTTTTCCGAGCGGCGGCGTCTTCGTCCACCTGTTTGCACTATGTCCAGCGGACTCCTGAAGGCGTTGCGCAGCGACTCCTACGTAGAACTGAGCCACTACCGGGACCAGCACTTCTGGGTGAGGGAGGCCGGCAGACGGCGCTGAACCGAACGCTGAGAAACGGTTTACTCTTCTCTCATTGTGTCGTTTCGTATTCTGCTGTCGCGAGATGCGACGCGAGGCTGCAAGTGTGAGCTAGGGAAGCAGGGAATGGATGCTGGAAAGGTGTTTTTATTTCTCAGAAGCCCCTTCCTCGCAGGGAAAAGGAGCTCGAGGTTCGCTTTCCCTTCCCTTGCAGGCCTCCCGGTATCCAAGCCAATGCCGGAATATTGGGGCGGGAGTAGCGTTTGCACCCATTTCCAGGACCTGTGTCTCGGGGAGGTGATTTTTAGATGAGGCACAGATTAAATTGAAGAGGATCTTAAATGCACTCACTTGGTTAATAGTTTAAAAATGCTTACATGTGCTAGGCATGAATTTCCTTTGTCCAACTTTTACAGTTCTTATTACTTTAGAAAGTTCTGCATCATAACCGTGTTAAATTTAAGTCACCCTGCAAGATTGCAACTGAAGGGATTTGACTTTTGCTCATTATTTATCCCTGCAGTCTAATGCTTAAAGCTTTAATGGGATAATAGTGCCATGTTGTGCGGAATTTTTTGTGTACCCTGGACTCTACGTTAATATCATACCTTAAATATTTAAACCACAGTTGCCTTAAGCCATAGGCTATTTGTTTGAATATGTGTGAGAAAAGTAGGAAAAGTAAAAATACCCCCTGACCATTACGGGGAGTTCCTGCTCTCCGCGGGGGTCGTGGGACACGAGCGAATACCGGAATCGTCGGGTGAAGAAATGAATGAATACAATCGAAAGGCTTTTCAATTTGCTGTGCTGTCGGGCTATGTTCTCCAGCTTCTGCCCTTGCTTCTGCTTTCTGCTCTTTGCTGTCTGCCCTCTGCTGTCTGCCCTTTGCCTTCTCCCTCCTGCTGTCTGCTTCTTCTGCCACTTCTACTTCCTTCTGCCTCTACTGCCTTCTGCCTTCTTCTGCCTCTACTCCTGCTCTCCGTTTCTGCTCTCTCTCTCTGCCTCAGTCTGCTTTCTGCCTGCCTCCTCTGCCTTCTGCTTCCTCTGCCCTCTACTTTCTTTCTCCTAGCTCTGCCAGCCCAGCTCAGCAAGTCTTTATTTTTTATATTTAAAATTACACAGTACGTGCATTGACACTTTTATCATTTCTTGAATTATTACAGTCACAACATTTTTGCACCTGGTCCTTAGACAACTTTAACAAGAAGACTTTGTGATGTTCAGACTGACCTTCATGTTCTTTCCCAGTATGAGATAAAACTGTTTCTTCTTGTTTCTACTAAAGGATTATAAACTTTCTATCCTACACAATGTGCTATTATTTTCATAATAAAGGTATTCATTAAATCACTTGGAAGCTGTGTGGCATAAAGCCCAACCTGGCTACTTGGCTGCAAGTAGTGTATAGATTATAAAGTCAAATCTATCCTTCACTTAAGTTCATTATTGTCTGCTTGTTTACGCAGGTGTCTGTATGTAGGGGTTTGTGAATTCTAGCTAGTGACTGAATGTGGTGAGGCCTATGGGGGTAGGTCAGCTTGGCTCTAATATGTTATCTGCTTTTGTGGCCCCCAAATGCAGTTACTTAGGTTTTCTAATGAAAGGGAGTAATTTACACAATTTCTCTTTGTATTCAATCTACCAGGGCTGAAAGCAATTGCTGCTAAGCTAGTTTTTCCTAAGGTTTGTTGAACTCATAGTGAAAAGCTGTGAATATTGCCAAATTATATATTTTTATAAGTAAAATTAAGATTACTCTATAGAGAAGGTAGAAAGCAACTTCTGAGAGCTATCTGTTTTTCAAGACCACTCCACTATTTACCAGAACTGTGTCAAGCGTTAAATCGAAGCTGTCCTCTACCCTCATCGGCTCCCAGCAGACCATAATTTTAACCGATCAGTAACATCAGTAATATAAAGTTAATCTACTTTAATGTTACAATCCAAAAAGGTTGAAAACGCGTTGTAAAACATTGAATGCCTATTCTGTGGACTATTTAAGGCAGTATGGGATTGAGGATTAGGCTGGGTCTGAATTCCAGTTACAAGTACTCAGTAGCTCTATGACTTGGAAAGGTTACTAACTCTTTTCCCTTGTGTTTAAAATGAGGATAATAAATCAGGACCTACCTCATACAGTTCTAAGAACTAATTGAGACACATACATGTCAGTTTGGCTTGAAGTCCCTGGATTCTCTCCAGAAGTAGACATGGTTATCAGTTTGTGCTTAAAAAAATTTTTTCTGTTAATTAAGAAAATAAAACTTAAAATATAATTTGAAGTGTACTGTTCTGTGCCTTTTTTTCAGTTTACATCCCATCTTGAAGATGTTGCATACCACTGCATGTAGATACGGTTTTCTCTGGGATGTGCTCTAATTTGTGTAATCGGTTTCCTTTTGATGTGAGTTGGGATGGTTTCACTATTTTTCAAATCTACCACTGCTCACATGAGACCTATTACTTTGAGCACTGTGGTACAAAGCAATCAGAGATGAATAAAGCAAGTTCTGATTGGCAGAGTGAAGGAAACGAGCAGCATTACACAGAGAGGGCTCTTGGGAAAATGTCCTGTGGGAGCTCAGTCTGGCTCTGCTCAGCATCTACTTTTCAAGACGGAATCCACTGTTAGGTATAAGAAGGGTCATCTTAAATCCAGATTCAGTATGTAGTATGCTTCATGTTGGAGCCCTGCCTGGGTCAGGAGAACCTGAGAGTTGGTCAAATGAACGACTTATTTAATGAGCATTTGTCCTCACCAGTGTGGAGGCTGGAAGAACATGTCCCTTATGGCCAGACTGGTTTTTGTGAAGACATCGAAGTTACCATAATGTCATCTTGTTCCTAGGGATCATTAGGTGTTTTCACTGAAACCCAGTTATACTCCTGTCTCTGGCTTAGCTTGTTTTCCAAATTAAGGAAGCTTATCAAGATGATCTCTTTTTGTTTTTCGTGATCACTGTATTTTCTCCTAAACTCAGAGAAACATAAGAGCATGCAAACTGTGTAAGCAGTTTTTTTTGAATGGTCTTTATAGGAGTATTACAGAGAGAAGTCCTATCTGGAAACCGATTTATTTTTTCACTACAAAGGGTAAAAGAGCCCTTCCTGGTATATTGATTCATGATTCAGAATTTAAACTTGGGCTATTAGAGAAAGATAGGATGCTAAGGAGGTGCAGAAAAGGTTGGTTGCTTGCAGTGTAACTTTCATGCCTTAACATAGAATCCCTTCCCTCCCCTCCTTTTTATAACCAAAGATTTGTGGTGGATTGGGATGATGAGAGAAGCTGATTCCCAAATCAAAATTAATGGAAGTTTTTTTACCATACTGGTTTCTAGGTTACATTGTTAACTTGTTTCTTTATTTGAAATCCTAGGGTGACATTGAAGAACAAGAAAAATTACTAAAGAAAAGCTGTACACTGTATGTTGGAAATCTTTCCTTTTACACCACTGAAGAACAAATCTATGAACTCTTCAGCAAAAGTGGTGACATAAAGAAAATCATTATGGGTCTGGATAAAGTGAAGAAAACAGCATGTGGATTTTGTTTTGTGGAGTATCCTTTCTGTATGGGTAATGTAGGTGCGAAACCAGTGCAGAGCCAAGAGTGGAGCTTCAGTGAGATCAGTTTATTAGCAACTCCTCCCTTAGCTCTGTGTCCTTCTCTCAGCTACCTCTTACTTTGTCTTGTCCATGCTCTTAGATTGTGGAAGCCAGTAACATTTACATTCTGGTCTGTAACCTAAGCTTTGTTTATGGTTGAATCTTTAAGAAACGTGGTCTTTTGAGAACATATACCCATGGTGTTTAAAAAAAAATTTTTTTTTAAACACTCCAGAAATGGTGGTTAAAATTTTTGTACTACTACAAACCCCCAATTCTCTTAACC